GTACCCATTGTGCTTTCTGCAGTCTGATAGCTCATGACCGACCATCTTCACTTCTGCAACATTCTCTGCTATTATCTTTTTAAGGACTGCCTTTCAACCCCAGTCTCTCTGGTATCTCCTTGACCTTCTGTTGGGCACAGACTGCAGCTTCACAGGGCCACTGCCTCACACTACCTGCATTCCATTCCTGTGTCCCCACCCCCAGCCTCCCCTAGCTCCTCTGTTCCTCGGGCTCAGAATGTTGAGAAGGTGCCCGTCACTTAGTTCCTACCCTCAGTTTCCCATGAATAAAAGGAGTTGGTTTGTTGGCTGGTTTGTTAGTTTTAGTGTACAGTTCAGTAGTGTTAAGTATGTCCATATTGTTGGGAAACAAACCACCAGAATGTCTTATTTTGTGAAACTAAATTTCTGTCCCCATTGAGGAACTCTCTTTTCCCCCTCACCAGCCCCTGCACCCTCCATTCTGCTCTCGATGTCTCTGAATTTGCTGAATTCAGAGACTTCAATATGAGTGAAATCAGCCAGGATTTCTCCTTCTGTGACTGGCTCCCTTCACTTAGCATGATGTGTTTATAATGTGTTCATCCGCGTTGTAGTATGCATCTGAATTTCCTTTCGATTTAAGGCTGAATAACCTTGCTTCGTGTGGATAGAACACATTTTATCTGTTCATCATCTGTTTTTTGGGGTGTGTGTGTGTGTGACAGGGTCTTACTCTATCACCTAGGCTGGAGTGCAGCCGCGCAATCTCAGCTCACTGCCTCAACCTCCTGGGCTCAAGTGATCCTCCCCTTTCAGGCTCCTGAGTAGCTGGGACTACAGGCACACGCCACCACCCCCAGTTAACTCGAAAATTGTTTTGTAGAGACAAGCCTCCCTATGTTGCCCAGGCTGATCTCAGACTCCTGGGCACAAGCAATCCTATGGCCTTGGTCCCCCTAAGTACTGGGATTACAGGTGTGAGCCACCATGTCCCACTTGTTCATCCTCTGTTGATGGACACTTGGGTTGCATCTATCTCTTGGCTATTGTGAATAATCCTGTGAACATGAGTGTGCAAATACCTCTTCGAATCCCTCCTTTCAATTCCTCCGGGTATATACCCAGAAGTGCAGTTGCTGGATCATACGGAAGTTGTATTGTTTTTTAAAGAACTGCCAGCTTGTTCTCCAATGCACTTGCACCATTATCCATTTCCACCAACAACACATAAGGGCTCCAGCTCCACATCCTCACCAACACTTGTTACTTTCTTTTTCTTGTTTTTGTAATTGTCATACTCATGGGCACAAAGTGATAACTCACTGTGACTTGGGTTTGTGTGCCTCCGATGGGTAGTGATGTGGAGCATCTTTTCCTGGGCCTGTTGACCATTTGTGTTTTTGAGAATTGCCAATTCGAGTCCTTTGCCCATTTTTTTTTTTTTTTTTTTGAAGTGGAGTCTTGCCCTCTCACCTAGGCTGGTGTGCAGTGGCACAATCTCGACTCACTGCAGCCTCCACCTGCTAGATTCAAATGATTCTCTCACCTCAGCCTCCCGAATAGCTGGAACTACAGGCACACAGCACCATGCCCAACTAATTTTTGTGTGTGTGTGTATTTTTAGTGGAAACAGGGTTTCCTTATGTTGGCCAGGATGGTCTCAAACTCCTGACCTTAGGTGGTCCTCCTGCCTTGGTATCCCAAAGTGTTGGGATTACAGGCCTGAGCCACCACACCCTTTGCCCATTTTTAATGGTGGCATTTGACTCTTGTTACATTGTAGGAGTTCTTTAGTCTGTCTGGGTAGAAGACCCTTATCATATGTAGATTTGCAAATATGCTCTTCCATCCCGTGGGTTGCCTTTTCAATATTCATTAGTGTCCTTCGATGCACAAATGTGCTTGTGATGAATGTCCTGCCATCTGAGTTTTGCTTTTGTGGCCTGTGCTTTTGATGTCCTCTCTAGGAAACCCTTAGCATTTCCAACTCCCCATGCTTTCTTCCAGAGATTGTACAGCTACAGAGCTTACCACTACGTCTGTGTTCCATGTCTAGTTAATTTTTGGACTTGCTGTAAAGTAAATGACCAGCTTCTCACTTCTGCACGTGGCTATCGGATCTTCCCAGCATCACTTGTTGGAGACTCTTTCCCTATAACTGGCCTCAGCGCCCTTGTTGAGATCATGTGACCACATATTTGAGGGTTCATTTGACTTCACTTTCTGCAACTTTGCTGACTTTGTTTAATAGTTTCAGCAGTGTTTTTGCGTGGAATTTTCAGGATGTGGAAAGGGTTTAAATAAAACCTGACATGAGGCCCTTCCTGCTGATCTTCCCCAATTCTGTGACTCCATCCACAGACAGGAGTTCCATCTTGCAATTTGGGGCTTTCAGAGCCCACCTGAGCCAGGATGGTCAAGGACCACATACTGGGACCACGTGCTTGGCGCACACACACTATCCCTAGTTGATGGGTCAGAGGAGGGCACTGAGGCCGAGTGGGCCGACCCCATGGGTGCTGGGAGATGTTGTTCCCACCCAAGCCTGGCTGAAAGGGAGACCGTGTTCCGGATATCCTTGCTCGGCCTGTTCCTTTGCTTGCGGGTCCCCACCTGGAAGAAATGGGGACTGATCCCCCTCCACTGCTTCGGTGGAGAAAAATGCAAGATGCCTCAACAACCAGTGATGCTGTGAACTTAGAGGGGCCCCTGAATTTCCTCAGACTCCCTCACTTTGCTGAGAAGTAGGTGCGGCCCCTGTTTTCCTCCTTCGTTCAGGGACTGTTTCTTGGGCCAGGCTGTGCATGTGGTATGATGGAGACCCGGACCCAGCTGACCCCATCTTTGCTGAGCTGCTGGAGCCAGGAAGGATGGGACCACCCCCTCCCTTCCACCTGTGAACTCTAACCCTCTCACTGAGCTGGGTGACATGTTTTTGTCTGAACAGAGATCCACAATTGGAGGGATGTGGATAGGTGCACTTGAAAAATTATTTATCAATGAGAGATGAGATTCATCTTTCAAAATGAGATTGGCTTTGAGCCCCGAGCTCCTCCAAAGGCTGTCTAAAATTACAACCCCATTGACAAGGCAATCTTTGTCAGGGGCCTACAGCTTGCCCCAGGGAAGCAGGGAAATGTCAACAGTACATGTTCTGCGTCAATTTTGAGTTTTTTAAGAGGCCTGGGCAAACAGCAACTTAGAGCAATTTTGCACTGTTTCCAAAGCTTTTACACTCCTGCCCATCGGCAGCCATGTGACTAAAGTGTCAGGTTTATAAGGAGCTGCTCCTGTGGTTGAGAGAGCTGCCTCTACCCTCCTTCCTACAGGCGTATCCCAGCGGGAGCTATACAGGGCGGGCATTTCTACTCAGAACAGTGGTGGAATCAGCTCCTCTGCTGTCTGGGATCCTGCAATCCACTGAGGTCTCCCCATTCTTTTTGTGAGCTCTGTGGTCCCAGGGCTGAGCACTCAGGCCTTCCCATGGGAGTCAGTGGGTTCTAGGATTTGCCTGAAGTTGAGGACACAGACTCCAGTTTCTAGGTGTGGTTGTGGCATGCACCTGAACCAAGTGTGCAAAGAAAATCACGTCTCCTGTGCAAGGAGCTCCCCATGCTGCCTGTGGCCTCCATGCAGCTGAGCGCTAGCCTGGTGTGCAGGTGTGCGGGACACACCCTCACAAAGACACCAGATATCTTTGGCAGGGCTGGGTGTGCCCAGCCTCTGTGTCTGCCTCAGCCCAGGAACATTATTGACAGTTTTCTCACCATTGCATGGGCCATGGAGGGATGAGATGAGGCTTAGCCCATGATAATTGACACTGTCACTTCTGCAGGGCTTGGCGACACCGTGTCTATCACAGTCAGGTATCCACAGCCCCACAGGTCTCTCTGTCCTGCCTCCCACCACACCTGCTGCCCAGCACTGGGTCTTTGCGCCCTCACCTGGAAGGCCTGTCTGCCATGGCAATCTCCTGCTCTGCCTGCCAGACTGGCCTGGTGTCCCAGGCAAGGTCCTTGCTTTCCGGCCCACTTCCCACCCAGAATATGATTGTGCTTACGGCTGAGCCGAGTCCGAAGGGCAGAGTCTATGACTGTCTTCAGAGTCCCGTGCTGGGCCAGGACTGACCAGAATGATGGGTGATGGGCTCCTCAGTCAATGGGCTTGGCACCTGGCTGTCCCATTCCCCGATGCCTCTGTCCCCACCAAGCGCAGCCAGGGTGGTGTCTCCTGAGCCATGCTGCTGCTTTCCCCCTGCCCTTTGCAGACATGTCTCAGAGCTTCTGAAACAGATAAAGCTGGGTTCCCAACCCCATCTTACAAACAAGGAAGGGTGAGAAGCTTGCCCCAGGTCACTGCTGTGGACTGAATGGTGACCCCCAAAACATATGTCTACATCCTAACTCACCAGAACCTGGGAATGTGCCCTTACTTGGAAATAGGATCTTTGCAGGTGTAATTAAGGTCAAGATCTCCAGATGACATTCTCTAGGGCTAGGGAAGGTCCTAAATCCAGTGGCAAGTGTCCTTAGAAGACAGAGACACAGAGGGGAGGCTGTGAGGGCTGACACAGAGATTGCAGTGATGGAACCACAAGTTGAAGGGTGACTGGAGGTGCTCGGGAGGATGCTCCCTGGAGAGTGGAAACGTCCTTTCCAGAGCCTGCAGAGGGAGCACGGCTTCCCCACACAGTTATTTTTGGATCTTGAGCCCCCAGAACTGAGAGAGTATACTATTGTTTTAATATACTAGTTGTTGTCATTTGTTATGACAGACAGGAAACTAACCCAGTCCTGTAGAAGATCTGAGGTCTGCAGACGGCAAACCTGCTATCTCCCCCTCCCAAAGGTGACCCCCTACTTCTCCCCAAAGATATCCAGAGGAGCTGGAGGCAGTTCTCCTTGGAAGACCCCATTTCTTGGTGGCAGTTCAGCTAGGACCCAGGGCCAGCTGATGGCCTGGGCCTGGACTTCAGCCATCCTGCCTGACCATTTCTAAGCCATGACTTTGTCCCCCAGGTCCGGGCTACATGGCTGTCCTTCACTGGGGAGTTGGGCTGGGGGCTACACATTCCAAAGGTGTCCTGCATGCCTGTGTACCAGGCTGTGATGGCCACGGGTGCCAAACATGACCTAGTCAATGCAGGGCACCACGCCATTGACTCCCTGAGCATTGAGAAAGGTGAGTGCAGGATCTGGATGGCACGGGGGCTTGGGGGGGGCGGTGGGAGGGAAGTGACGCTCGAGACACCTGGAGTCTGAGAAACTGTTTGCCTTCCCTGTGTCGTCACCTGGCTTCCTTCTTTCCACACCTTTATTTCCTCCCCTGCATCCCAGCGCCTGACATCCTCCATTTCCCGAAACCCTCTTGCTGCTCAGGGTCTTCATGCAGGGCCCAGGGACAGTGTCTGGATCAGCAACCTCTGCACACACCTAGACTCAGAGAGCTGAGGCGCTGCTCAGTGCCTGGGGGGCAGGCCTAGGCTGGGTTGCAATTGAGGTCCTTGGTTTCTCTGACAGCTGTGAAGAATGGAGCCAGGGAGCAGGCCTCTGAAAGAAGCCCAGACCCTTGTCCAGAGCAAGGATGGAGGTCAGGAAGGGCATTGGAAGTCTTCCTGGGCACTGGGCACCCAGCAGGCATTGGGCAGCTCTCATGGGTGTTGGGCACGCAGCTTGGGCATTTGGCAGCTCCCCCTTCATGAGGGATGGATAAACTTTACAGAATTTTTTTTGCTTATGACACAGAAATATGATCACAAAGCACATGTGTACCACAATACAAATTTCATGTATTTTGTCTCTTTGTATTATGTTTTCTTTCCACTTGTGTCTTTTCAAGCTAATGATTCCTAATCTCCTAATACAGTGGGCCTTTCAAACACTTAGTTCTTCAGATAATCATGTTATTTTAACTAGAATCCCATAGATTACCCAAGTTATTAAAGCATGGAAAAGTATGAAGACCCTCGAGTCCTTCCCCTCTGTATCCCCCATTGAATTCAATTCAGCCCAACCTTGTATTTGTTTTGTTCTTTTGGAAAAGAAAATATAGTCATTACCTTCAATAAATATACAATCTATTTAGGGAGATATGGCTTCAGAGTAGGATTCTTAGTTTGATTTTCATTATCTTACCTTCAGATATTCGGAAAAACCAAAATGCTGTATGCATGTGGACCGCAAAGCAGTATGAATGGAAAACCAAAGTAATAAATGTTATTTATGACTTTATTATAATATTAGGATTAGTAGATAATTACTTACTAAAGGAAGATTTAAATTGAACATTTCTAAATGGGAAAATTTTTAAAAGCAGGTGAGTCAATAAAGTTTAGGACCCAGATTCTACTGAGCTAAAACTCAATGAGAATTAATTATCTATTTGTGTTGTAGCAATTCTTGAGGTTATCTGTAAGGACTCACATGAGAATTAAACAATAAAAGAGGACTGAGACCATTTCAAGGGATGGAGAACACCTTCCTTTCTTGTTCAGATGATGTTCTGAGACATTGCCATTTATTCTGACTCCCTATTTTTAAACAAACTTCCACTTAGGAGCTTAAAATCTACATATAAACCAATAGCCATAAAATACGTGAAGAACTCAGTGTTTAAGCATTATTAAACACTGAGTTTAATAGACACAGTACATAAATGTTATAATTTAAGCATGACAATAATGAGATAGGAATTATACTATTACTCCATTTTTACAGGTGAAGAAATCAAGGTCTACAAAAGAAATAATATGTTCAGTTGCATCTGTCAGAAAATGAAGTTCTGCTACCTGTTACTTTCTGCGCAGGGTGAGCCTCTTTAGTTTTTGTTCCATGAACCTACTAAAGACGATGAAGCATTTCCAAACAATGTGCCACAGATAGAAGTAAAGTGAACTTATTATGTGATTAGCCTTAATGATGAAGCCACAGTGTGTCTCCTGGTGTGAGTTCTGCTGGGACACAGAAACCCACCCATTCCTGAGACTTGGAGCAAAGTTACTGCCTGTTTTGCCCATTTTGTATAAAACCTAGAAATAGACACAAACTTTAAAACTTTTTTTGGAGGTTTATATAAATAAAAAATTAGTAAATTTATTGCCCAGAATATAGTCATGTACCATACAACAGTGTTTCAATCAATGTCAGACCACATATATGATGGTGGTCCCACAGGATTGTAATGCTGTATTTTGACTTTATCTTTGCGATATCCAGCCACCCCAAATTCTAATGACACCACCGAACTCCTAATATCACATTGGACTAATCTATTATTTTATAGAAGCAATAATGTTAGTATAAGTAACATGAAAACATTCCCTCCTGCATAAGCCTATATAAGACTGGAATAACCCACTGGCAGTTAACAGCCTAATATTAATAAACAGCCCAACAAATTTATTACTACTTATACTGTTAAGTCAACACAGGCATGCTCTAAGGAAAGGTTAAAAAAAGTAAAAGGAACTCGGCAAATTTTAGCCTCCTGTTTACCGAAATCATCACCTCTAGCATTATTAGTATTAGAGGCACCACCTGCCCAGTGACATATGTTCAATGGCCGTGGTACCCTGACTGTGAAAAGGTAGCATAATCACTTGTTCTTTAAATGAGGACTTGTATGGATGGCCCCGCGAGGTTCAGCTATCTGTTATGTGTCTACGCAATGAAATGGACCTGCCCGTGAAGAGGTGAACATGAACAAATAAGACAAGAAGATCCTATGAAGCTTTAATTTATTAATGCATACAAAACTCAAATAAGCCCATAGGCCTTAGACTGTTGTCTCTCCATTAAAAATTATGTTTGTGGTGACCTTGGAGCATAACCTAACCTTCAAGCAACCTATGCTAATACTAAACCAGTTTAAGTGAATTACTATACATATATTTACCCAATAATTTGATCAACGGAAAAAGTTGCCCTAGAGATAACAGTGCAGTCCTATTCTATAGTCCATATTGTCAATAGAGTTTATGACCTTGATGTTGGATCAGGACATCCTAATGATGTAGCCGCTATCAAGGGTTCATTTGGTTCAACCATTGAAGTCCTATGATATCTGAGTTCAGACCAGAGTAATCCAGGTTGGTTTCTATTGATTTTATTTTTTCTTCCAGTACAAAAGAACAACAGAAATAGGACCCACTTCATAGAGTATCCTCACCCTATAGATAATACTATCTTATTCTAACAAATCACCTCACATCTTACCCAAAAATAGGGTTTGTTAAGGTGGCAGAGCCCAGTAATTGCATAAAACTTAAAACTTTATAATCAGAAGTTCAATTCCTCTTCTTAACAACATACCTATAATCAACCTACTACTTATTGTACCTACTCTAGTCGCTATGGCATTCTTTATGCTCATCGAATAAAAAATTCTAGGTTACATACAACTATGCAAAGGACCCAATATCGTAGGACCCTATGGACTATTTCAACCATTTGCTGATGCAATAGAGCTTTTCATCAAAGAACCCCTAAAACCCTCAACATCTACTGTTACCCTTTACATTACTGCTTCAACTCTAGCCTTTGTATTGCCCTTCTTTTATGAATTCCACTCCATAAACCAAACCCTTTAATTAATTTTAATTTAGGCCTATTTATTTTGGCCACATGAGCCTGGCCGTCTACTCTATTTTATGATCAGGGTGAGCATCAAATTCAAACTATGCACTAATCGGCACATTACGAGCTGTCACACAGCAATTTCATGTGAAGTGACCCTAGCCATCATCCTACTATCAGACATTACCATCTTTAACCTAATTATTTATTTTGTCACAACGACCACTGCATTCCTAGCACTCAACCTAGGAATTCAAGCACCACGACCCTATTACTATCCCACACCTGAAACAAACATGACTAGTATTCATAATGTTATCAATTTCATGATCCCTAAGGGGCTTACCTTGTCTATGACCTTGAGCAGTAGGATATAAGTAACTTCCACACGCTTAGCATTCCAATAATGGAACACTAGGCATAAGTGGGTCAACATGATCATTAAAGCATAGCTATTCAAGTAACTATACAATTGATTTTTTTCCCCTCATCTCTAAAACATAGTAAGGGACCCGTTACTTTAAAGCTACAACACAGTGACAAGTAGCTTATTTTTAACTCAGTTTTGGCTTGTTGTTTGTTAAGGCCATTGCTTGGCATAAAGAAAACAAAAAGAGGAGGAGAAAACAAGAATAGAAACATGAAATAGATGCAGCAACAAAAGAAAATGAAGAGGAACAAGAAGATGGGAAGAAGAAAATACAGACAGGAAGAAAGGAAAAAGAACAGGGGCGGGAATTAGAAAGCCTATTGTGATACCTTTAATTCTCTCCTCAATTAATGAAATTTGAGTAAGTCCAAGATTATCACAACAAAAAACAAGCAAAAAGATGCACAAATAGTCACCTCCTACATTTTGTTAAGAAAGAAACAATGCTGCCACTCACATCTGGCACAGGCACCAGGAGGAGGAGGGCACCCTCCAGAGATTGCAGGAGAAGGGGAAGGACTTCTTGTTGCCCTAGGTGCACCTCCACCACTGCCACCAAGTCTGGCGTTAGAACACCTGCAGGTTCCTCTGCACCCCAGGACAGGATGGGCCCTGCAGCACTCCTACTTCCCCTTCCCGGCCACCAGACTTGCTGCTGTTACCACCACTAGTGCTGATGTCAATACAACCACTGTCGCCCTCAAAGCACCAACCCCTACAAGGCTCCTACCACCTAGCCCCTGCAGGTGCCCTCCTACCACTCCACACCCTACCACTCTGGTCGAGCTGTAGTCTCCGTCGCTGCCACCAACCACCTAAGGCAAGCTGCAGAGCCATGTCATCTGCAGGATCCAGTATACCACAGGTGACTCTTCTCCTCCTTCCAGCCTAGCTTGGAGCAACAGGGCAGGCCAAGCCAGGAAAACCTAGAACAGGATGCAGGGAGTGGAAGCGTTAAAACCTCACATTGTCATGCTGGCCACTGGGTGGCAGGGACCAGTTTCATTGAAGGCACTCACACCCACTCTCCAAAGTCCAGCCTCTCCTTCTGACAAAAGCTGGCCAGTAACTGGGGCCTGGGGTAGGTGTGAGTGCCTTCACTGAAACCGGCCTTTGACCAGGTCTAGCTGGCCAGGAATTGCTGGGCCCACCGGGGCTGCACTCCTTGGGGTGCTCAAGTAGAAGAAACACAGATCCTGTCAGCCCTCCCCACCCAAGTGCTGGTTCCCATTCCTGATGCCTCCACCCACAATGCCGTGTCTGCCCTCCACCACCGTGGTGCCCACTACTCTCTGTGGTAGTACTGGGTGGTCTCCACAACACAGAATTTGAGGACTCGGGCCAGAGAACCACAGTGGTTGTGGGGACCCTGCCATGCTCAAGATTGCACGAGCAGGAGGAGATCTCCCTCTAGACTCTAGAGCCTGGAAAGAGGAGAATGGTCCCTTTCTTGGAGGCCACCAGAAGGAAGAAGAGGGCCACTGGTGTTCCCACCACTGCCACCTCTGCAGCCCGCCAATGCCTCTGGCAGTGGAGCCACCGATAGCACCTCTAACCTTCCCCCTGCCACTGTCAGTGTAGTCCCCCCCAACACACCCTACAGCTGCAGGAAATGTAACCCCAATACTCCCCCAAGCCACCACTCCACCCACTGCAGGCAGTATAGCACCCGATAGTGCCCACAACGAGACCCAGCCACGAGTTTTGCTGCACTAGATAATGCCCCAAACCCGCCCCACCACGGACAGTGCAGCTCCTGATAGTGCACCCCCAGTCACGTCCAGTGCAACACCAAACAACACCCCTAAACCACCCCCCACTGCCAGCATTGTAGCCTCAGAGAACTCCATGCCACCCGCCCCCTGCTGCAGGCAGTGCAGCAGAAGATAGCGTCCCTAACCCGTCCCCCGCCAACGGCAATACACGTTCATGTACACAACATACCTCCCCCCAATACCCTCACCACCTTGGGCAATGTAGCCCCTTATAGCCAACCAACCCGCCCCACTGCCAGCAATGCAACCCTGGAGAGTGCCCAAACCCACGCCACTGCCACAGGCAGTGCAGCGTTGGGCATTGAGCCCCAATAGGACACCCAACCCTTACGCCCAGAGGTGAGCAGTGCAGCCCCGAATAACTCACCTATTCCACCACATTTCTACCACTCTGGCTGAGCTGCAGTCTCCAACGTCACCACCAACCACAGTGAGTCGAGCAGCAATGGTGCAGACTCCAGCCTCTGGCATGGTGCGGTGCCTCCTCTGCTTGTCCTCAAGCCCAGTAGGAGAAGCTCCCGCTGCTAGCCACCCTCCTACCACTCTGACACCACCACCAACAGCAATGAGGTAGGACTCCAAGCCCCAGGCCTCAGCCTCCAACGAGCAGCAAGTGGCAGTCCCTTCTAGTTCTCTAACCCAGCAACGGAGTAGCTCAGTGACCAACATAAAAGAGCCTGCTATGACCCGTCGCCCCCTCAGCATGCTTTATATACTGAGGTTATGCAAATGCCATTCCTGGACTACATGTTCGGATTGGAGAAGAGAAAAACCTCTAGGCCTATACTGATTGGACTTTATTTTCATGCTGTGATTGATTGTCTTAAGACTTGCTCTCATCCAATCAGAACATGTTAATAAAGTCCAATCAGAGTAAGCCTGGGTTTTTTTTTTTTTTTTTCTCATCCAATCAGAACATGCAGTCCAGGAACCTTCATTTACACAAACTCAGTATGTGAAGACACTGAAGGAAAGTCTTGTTCTTCCAGGTTCCCATATCTTCCTGTCTAGCTGCTCAGTGCCTGGCCTAGAGGACCAGGAATGGCGAGTGACCGACTGTGTGCTGGAGGCTAGAGCTGCTGAACTGCAGCACCACTACTCACCTCGCTGAGGTTGATGGTGGCGGCGGAGATTGCAGCACGCCTGGAACAGGAGGAGGAAAATAGTTTTGGGATAGATGGAGGGGGGTAAAGAGGGTTGTTAGTGCCAAAGGGAAAAAAGGGTAGCAAGTAGGAGAAGGCGTTGCAAAAAAACAGTGGGGAAAAGATGGTGGGGAAAAAAGTTTTTGGGTAGACAGAGGTGGAGAAACAGGGTGGAAAGCAGGAGGGAGGGAAGATTTTGCAGTAAGATGGTGGGTAAAAAGTTTATGGGAAGATGGAGGGGGAAGAAGGGGTGGCAAGTGGGAGGAGGAAAGACAGGGTGGTGGTGTGGGAAACGGGGGCGAGCAGTAGGGAGAGAAGCTTTTGCGAAAAGACGGTGGGGAGAAAAGTTTTTGATTAGATAGAGGGGCAAAAGAGGGTAGTAAGTGGGAGAAGGAAAAAGAGGATAACCAGCGGGAGGAAGACAAGGTTTTGCAGAAAGACAGTGGCAGAAGAGAAAGACAGTGAAGAAACAAAAGACGGTGAGTAAAAAGTGTTTGGGTAGATGGAGGGGGGGAAAAGGGTGGCGAGAGGGAGCAAAGAAAGAGGGTTGGGAAAAAGACGGGAAAATAGTTTGGGGTGGGTGGAGGGCAAAAAAGAGGGTGGCAAGCAGGATAACAGAAAGAAGGACGAGTAGGAAGTGAGGAAGACTTTGTGAAAGGATGGCGAGGAAAGTTTTGGGGGGTATATGGAGGGGGAAAAGAGGGAGGTGAGCAGGAGTGGGGAGAAGGCTTTGAGAAAAGATGGTGGGGAAATGTTTTGGGGTAGATGGAGAAGGGAAAGAGAATGTCAAGGAGGAGCGTGGGGAAAGACGAATGAGGAAAACAGTTTTGGGGTAATGAAGGGGGAAAAGAGGGTGGTGAGCAGCAGGAGTGGGGAGAAGGCTTTGCAAAAGAGGGTGATGAGAGCAGGAGGGAGAAAAAGGGTGACCAGGGAGAAGGGGAAAATATGGTGGGAAAAAACACTGGGGAAAGTGGGTGGTTAGACAGGAAAAGGGTGGTGAGCGGAAGAGTAGAGAAGGCTTTGTTAAATGATGGTGGGGAAAAACTGGTGGTGACAAAGTTTGGGAGTAGATGGAGGAAGACAAAGCGTGGCAAGAGGGAGGGGGCGAAAGTGGTCGGGAAAAGAAGGTGGGGAAATAATGGTGGGGGACAAAGGTTTTGGGTAGATTTTTTTTTTTTAACATAAGAGTATTTGTATTTGTGCTTTTGAGTAGTTTGAGTTCTTCATATGTTTTTTGTATTAACCCCTTGCCTGATGCATAGTTTGCAAATACTTTCTTCCATTTTCTGGGTTGTTTCTTCATTCTGATTGCTTCCTCTGCTTTGCAGAAGCGTTTCATTTTAATGTAATTACATCTTTGCTTTTGTTGCTTCTGCTTTTGATGTCTATTTGAAAATTCCTTGTCCTAAGCAATTTCATGAAGCTTTTATCCTATGTTTTCTTCTCTAAGTAGTTTCGTAGTTTCATATCCTACATTTAAATCTTTATTTTGAGTAGATTTTTGTATTTGGGAAGATAACGGTCTAGATGAATTCCTGTACACATGTGGGTGTTGGGTTTTCCTAGGACAATTTATTGAAGAGATTATCCTTCCTGACTGTGTGTTCTTGGTGCCTTTGTTAAAAATGAGTTGACCATAAATGCGTGAATTTATTTCTGATTTGTCTATTTTGTTTCACTTGTTTATGTCTGTCTGTCATTCATTCCCCTTTCTCTCTCTCACGCTTTTTATTGATAGTACCATGCTGTTTTGATAGAAACATACTTAATATAGATTTGTAGCATATTTTGAAATCAGGTAGTACGATGCCTCCAGCTTTTCTTTTTATTCCAGATTCTTTTGTCTATCTGAGGTATTTTGCATTTCCGTGTGAATTTTAGAATGGTTTTTACTATTTCTATGAAGAATGTTTCTTGTAGTTTAAGATGGATTGCCTTGATTCTGTAGATCACATTGGGTGATACAGATAGTTTAACACTATTCTTCTAGTGCTTGGACATGGGTTATCTTTCCATTTACTTGAGATTGTTTTAATGTCTTTCATCTATGTTTTATGGCTTTCATTGTGGGATCTTTTGCCTTTTGCTTTAAGTTTATCTCTAGATCTCATTTGTTTGGTAATGAAATAACTTTCTTGATTTCTTTCTTAGGTATTTCACTATTGGTGCATGGGTGTGCTACTCCTTTTTATGTATTGATGATTGTATCTTGCAACTTGACTAAATTTATTATTTCTAGTAGGCTTTTTGTGGAGTCTTTAGGGTTCTCTCTGTATATATATGTTCATGTCACCTGCAAACAGAGACAATTTGACTTCCTTTTTTCCAATTTGGATGCCTTTTATTGCATTCTCCTGTGCAATTGCTCTAGCTAGGACTTCCAGTACTATGATGAATAAAAGTGGTATGAAAGTAGCCACACTTGTTCCAGATCTTAGAAGAAGAGTTTTTAACTTTACCCCATTGATTATGATGTTAGCTGTGGGTTTGCCATATATGTGGCCTTTATTGTGCTGAGATATGTGCCTTCTGTACTCATGTTGTTGAGTTTTTATCATGAAGGAATGTTGATTTTTTTTCAGTGTCTACTTAAATGGTTATATGATTTTTTTTTTTCTTGATTTGCTGAATGTGGTGTTACACATTTATTTATTTGTGTCTATTGAAACATCCTTGTATTCCTAGGATGAATCCCACTTGATCATGGCAGATGATCTTTTTATTGTGCTGTCAAATGCAATTTTCAAGTATTTTGTTGAGGACTTTTTGCATCTTTGTTCATCAGGGATATTTGCCTGTGGTTTTCTTTTTGTGTTTTGTCCTGGTCTGGGTTTTGTGCCAGGGTCATGCTGTCCTCATAGAACAAGTTTCAAAGCCTTCCTTCCTCTTCATTTTATGGGGAATATTTTGAGTAAAATTGGTATTGTTCTTTCAAAAATGTTTGGTAGAATTTGACAATAAAACCGTGATTCTTGTGTTTTTTCTTTGCTGGGAGACTCTTTATTACTGCTTTAATTGCATTACTCATTGTTGGTCTGTTCAAGCTTTTTATTTTTTTATCATTCTATCTTGGGAATTATGTGTCTAGAAATTTATTCACTTCTAGATTTTTCAGTTTGTTTGTACATAGATGTTTTTATTAATCTCTTACAAGCCTTCATATTTCGGTGTTATCAACTGTAATGTCGCCTTTTTCATCTATGATATTTTTCTTATCCGTCTAGTTAAACTTTGTCAATTTTGAGTTTTCTAAAACACTCCAGTTCTTTGTTCTTTGACTTTTTGTAGTTTTTGTTTCTGTTTTTAAAATTGCTTCTTTAATCTGTAAGATATTTTTTCCACTAATTCTAGCATTTGATTTTTCTTGTTGTTCTCATTACTGGAGTTGTACTGTCAGGTTGGCTAGTTGAGATCTTTCTACTTTTCTGATTTGTAGGCATTTATAGTATGCACTTTTCCTCTTACAGCTGTCTTTGCTGAATCCCACAGGATTTGTT